GCCAGAGACGTGCAGCGGCTGCGCTCAGCGCTCGGGGAGTCACTCAGGACAGTTTCTCAGGTAAGCAAACTTCTTTGGCCACAGGAATGTCCTCTGCCCCGCTACTCAGCTTTTCAGCGCAGGTCAGAAACGGAGAACTCTCCGTTTTATCCTGTACCGCAATTAAGGTCATCAACTACCAAATAACATCACATTTTTTAGAAGCAGTAGAGCTTCTTGTGGAAGCGTTCGTCCAGGGAAGTATTGCCACTTTACCTATTTCTGCCTCCAAGCGGTAATGTCACCACTACTGTGTTCTTGCTTTGAAGGTGCTGGTGGAATTACAGGTAGATGGGACTTGTCGACTTTTGTCTCAGGGTGACGGACGCAGTGGCAGTGCCCATCAGATCTTTGCGATTTATAGCTCCGAGTGGCACTGCAACTGCTATGGGAAGGCGTGTTGCTTCCCACTAGCTGCACGACTTGGTCCTTCTGTCACTTGATAATATAAAAAAAACATTAAAAAGAATAACCAAACGAGATAAAACATTATTTATTTGGTATAAAAATAGATTGGGATCGTTTGATCAATAGTATACAAATTATATATTATTATTGCATTAATTTCATAAATCAACGTATATAATGCTGTATTGCTATTGAGTAAAAGTAATAATCAAAATGACATTATTATTTATGTAATACAAATATTCGAGCGCGTGGTTAGGTCATTGAACTTTTGTGGTCAGTTGATATCCTTCGCTAATTGCGTCCGCGTCTCTGGAAGTGTCAAATTAAAATTACAAGTATGTAATAAATGATAAAATTGTAATTTTTTAATAAAATCACATTTCATTATAAGCAATACGACAGTTAGGGAACCATAAATAAAACATATTTGAAAATAAAAGTAAATAAACTTTTTTGGCGATGGAACTTTTTAACAAGCTGTATTGACGGTTTTTGATCATCATGATAATTATGTTTACGGATGTAACGCAATTTAGTTAAGATTCTGTAAAATAGTATCTAGATTTTCATCTAGAATTCAAAACTTGTGTACTGGGCATATATACGCCAATTCAGAACGTTTTTGATTTATAAATCGAAAAAAACGCAGAACCAAAGTTAAACCACCTTACCTATTTCTGCCGAGTAGGGGTTCTCAATTCGTATGTGTTTTTTTATTTTTTGTGTGTATGTTACGCGATAACTCCGGTTAAATTTGTGAATCGATTTTGATGATTCTTTTTTTGTTGGAAAGGGGGGAACCTCAGTAGTACTTCCATTTAATTTTGAAGAAAATATTCCCACTCTAAGGGTGTTCTCGCATGACGGCTTATTTTTATTATTTTTATTATCTTCTGTGTTAAGTCGTGACCTTACCTATTTCTGCCGCCAAGCAGTAATCTCAGCATTACTGTGTTCCGGCTTTGGAGGGTAAGGGTGCTGGTAAAATTAGGCTCATTGGACTTGTCAACTTGTCTCAGAGTGACGGGCGCAGTGTGAGTGCCCCTCAGATCTTTGCGATTTAAAGCTCTGAATGGCACTGCATGTGTCATGGACAGGCGTGTAGCTTTCCATCAGGCGCACGACTTGTTCGTCCCATCATTTGGTATTATAAAAAAAAAGTTTTCGACATCTCTTATATTTACGGAATAATCGCCTGGGCACACTTAATGATTATATCCTGTTTAGACATCCCTTAAGGGATATCAGGGCATGCTTCAGCAAACTGGAAATTCACGTCACCAATTGATTTTGTAAACTTCTCCATCATCATGGTTTCCACGCAGTTAATTTTCCTTTAAGTTGGTAATAAATGGTTATAGCCTCATTATTCACTGCAGCCGAAAAACATACGTGTTTAGACTACCAAAAGAAACATTGAAGGGAGAGGTGTCGAAATGAACGCAATCTTTTTGCTTGTGTAAATATATCGCCGCTTTTCAATAATAATGACCCAAACCAGAATAGTATTTTTTTTATTTCACATCTGAATTTAGAACGTGCTAACACACAAGAGGTATTGCCACCTTAAATATTTCTGCCGCCATGCAGTAATGTCAGCATTACTGTGTTCCGGGTGCTGGTGAAATTATAGGCACATGGGACTTGTTGACTTATGTGTCAGGGTGATGGGCGCTGTGGCATCGCCGCTCAGATCTTTGCGATTTAAAGCCCCGAGTGGAACTGCATATGTTATGGTCAAGCTTGTAGCTTACCATCAGGCGCACAACTTGTTTGTCTCGTCTGCTTTTTTTTCTTGGGGTTCCTATCACAGTCAAGAACAACGAGCCAAATGTACAATGTCCTGAGAATAAGCAGCATCTTGCACATAGTTCTTTGTTCTACGGATGAGTCGATCTAATTACAAAACAAACGGAATCACATTTCATCGGTAATTAAGTCATAGTAGTAAGGATTTGGCACATTGACTTACAAATAAATGGGCGACGGGTCTAATACAAAAACCACGAAAAAAATGTCCCAACTCAACCTATTTAAACGTAGTGACATGTAAAGGAATATGAAAAAGCTAAAACGTTGAATTTAAATTGTAATGTCATCGCAGTACTGTCTAATTTTGCTTGCTTCGCTGTCAGTCGAGCAAACGAAGACTAAAGCGTGAATGACGCTCTGTATACGATTTTAACGCCCTATAAGTTCGGACACTTTTTAGCGCGGACCCGACGTCCATATTTATAATTGTAAGTCAATGATTTGGCAGAATAGTTTTCAAACTAATTAAATGACATTTCGTCTCTATTTCTGGTTATACATTCGATGTTAATATTTGTACGTTTTGTAATCGTTATATTTTAATTAATTTTGTAACTTTTTCGTATTTTATTAATGATGTTCAGTCAACTGTATTTTTTTCATTGCATTAGTTGTATACAATTGTAAACGGATTGTAGTTGAGAAGCTTTTACATATATTTAATTGGTATTTCTGTACAGGATCCGACCTTGGACTCGTACATGCTGGAACACGAAGCCCGCAAGCTGGATAGTACATTGGCACACAGTCTTCCACCACTCAATGACAGCTACGACTCTTCCAAATAAATCCAATAAGTACCTAAATTCTTTATTAAGTGTGCGGTCAGAGTGCTGGCTCCCTAAGGGTCATTATATATGGTACCACTGCAGTTATAAGAGCAGTTTGTAGGAATGTGTGAAATATGCCACACACGTTTCTAACGCGCAAGGGTCTAAAGGCACTCTTGCGTAATGTGTAATGATATATATTTATTTTATTGATATAACTTTATGATTAATATTTATTTGAATCAATACTGAGTTAACAAAAACAATCATAGTCCGTTATCATTTTCCTAGAATAGAAAAACATCGACACTATTACAATATTGAAGTTAGCATTTATTGTAAATTCTTTTTAAATTTCTTTAGAGCTACAAAGTAGTCACTGAAGTAGATGAAAGAGTAGTTCTGTAAGAAAATTTTCATGAAAATTAAAGTAAGAATATATTTGCATGTTTGATGTAAACAAGTTTATTTGCGGTTCAAACTGACAAACAGTCAAATGATTCACCTGATGAAAAATAATAGGCACTGCTTATAAACATTTGCGACATTTAGGAAGTTTCATTTGGGTTGACCCCGCATCACTCTAGCAGTGCGTCTATATCAAACTTATATTTTATATGGGGTATCATTAGATCGATGCTAATAGTATGGATGCAGTGCTGAAGGGTCGGGTGCAATCATATAATCACAAATTTGTTGCCTGTTAGCAGATTTACTATACTAAAAAATTGGGCAGAACGGTAGTAGCTACCTATCCAGCAGCCAAGTATATGCTGGTGATGTTTTTTAATTTTGCGTTTCCAAAAATTTCGTAAATTCGAATTTCCATACGCGAAATTTATCACGAGATGAATAACGAATTCTGTGCGTATAGTTAACCACACAGATCTAATTACATACATGGTTCAAGGTAAATTATGTATTTATCACGTTATATGAGTTGAACAAACACGTTCGAAACATATATATAGACACACGTATGTGAACAGTCATAATATATTATTTATGCACAATAATAGAGTTTGTCGTCGCATTTTGATGATACATTGATTGTCCTCTATTTATTATTATAAGACGCGATTGACTCAGTGGTTGAGCTCTTTAAGAGCGATGGTTCTGTTTCCGATAATAACAATATAGGTATCTCAAGTTTGCATAATTGTTTAGTGTGAATTGTTACGTATAAATATTAAGAAAATTAAACAAAAAATGTGGCATCCATTATTTAGGTAGCAGAGGAAAAATCTCTGGTATCCTTATGTTGAAAGGAAAAAACTGGTACTCTTTTTTTTTAACGTATTTATGAGAATTCGCGTATGCAATGTTTTAGTTCAAATTAACAGGTAAAAACAATGAATACGCAGATGTGATAATGATAAAAATGTGACATTATTGGAAGTAAAAAATCAAAATATTCATATTAATTATTCTGAAGGGCGCTTCCTTCGTCCTATTTACATAATAAGTTAGAGCCAGAGATGGACAGTGAGTAAAACCCCAATCAGCCTGACCGGTTTTGACCCATTTCTGCCCAAAATCGTGGGCAGAAACGTCGAATACGAAATTTGGTATAATTCCATGATTAGTACCAAATTTCGTCTAAAAAAATCTTTTTTAGACGAAACGAGCCTACTCTACAGAAACTTCTACCTTGGAATGTGGATTATCAATACGATTATTATACATTACGATTTGAATTTTATGAAGATCGATTCAAGTGCAAGCGATCTAACGATTTTTTGTAACGATTTATTTCAATTCCATCGAATTTCTTCTACCAGAAAGCAATAAACACTTGTAATAATATTATTAAATTTGAACTAAACTTAATTTAAAACAAATATTTAGTTGTAAATAATTTTTGCCCACGATTTTGGGCATCAATTTAACACAAACAACGCCACAACAAAACTACGCCACGACAAAGCACCGGGTTAAAACCCGGCGCCAGCCCATCTTTGTTTAGAGCTATCTACTGGATTTTAATTAGTCGGTTGCTAGTTTTTGATGAATTAAAAGTAGTGTCTTAAAGGATCGTCTTCACCAAGTCATAAAGGTAATAAATATCTTCTTAATAAATTGTAGGTATTTTTTTTTTAATCGGGAAATGATAAATAAAAATGTAAAGACTAGACGTAAATTTCATTACCTGGTGTTAGATTTCATTACTAGGTGTGAAACCTAGAAAATTCCGAACTATGAGAGCGACGGAGCTCCTTGTGAAAGAGTTCGTCCAGGGTAGTACTGCCACCTTACCTATCTCTGCCGCCAAGCAGTAATGTCAGCATTGCTATGTTCAGATTTTGAAGGGTGAGTGTGCTGGTGAAATTACAGGCACATGGGACTTGTCAACTTATGTGTCAGGGTGACGGGCGCAGTGGCAGTGCCCCTCAGATCTTTGCGATTTAAAACTCTGAGTGGCACTGCAACTGTTATGGATAGGCGTTCGTCCCGTCATTTGATATTATAAAAAAAAACTAGGGGATGAATCCGGTTTTGCGCACTTTCCGGTAACCGATTTCAATAAAACTTGGTAAATAGATGTAATTCCACGAAATTTTAAGGTCGGCTTTGTTAGTACGTACTCCGTACTGAGATTATTTACTGATCACAGCTGTATAACAAATGTTTTTGAAAAATGTCACATGCGCCCTGTCAACTAAAGGTGGCAGATTAGTGGATGACATTTTATGAAGCTTCTAAAGAAAATTTGATCTTTAATTGCATTACATAAATACAAAACTTCAATCAAATGGCTCGAATTCCTAAACACTTTTCTGTTGAAAGCGCAAGAAAGAAGGGTTCATCTTAGAACATCGACTGTACATGACGGAGCTTGTATGCTTGCTCTTTGTATGCCTGCATCGAACATGTAACCAGAAATAGAGACGAAATAAGGGCCATCCATCCCTGGCAACTCGTCAGGCAAATGGTGCTTAAATCACTTTGAAATATCAGCTCTCATGGAACCCAGGACCTCCTTACCTACCGTCCGCGGTACTAATCGCTAAAAAGCCTCCCCTCACAACGTACCATCCCATTTCTGTACGTCTGACACACCTTGGGCAACAATCGGAGAGAACTTCCACCGATTGACAAATCCTATCTCAATTATAGGCACATAGATAAGAAGTACTAACCTAGGCTAGCCTATCGAGCTCTAATACCAAATTCTAAATTCCCTGGGTTTGGCACTGGTCTTTTGAATACCAGGGAATGAAATATGTAACTCGTCAAGACTACACACATCAAAAAAAGTTTGCGATCAATAGCATAAGCTCCTATAATTCTTTAAATTTAACTTTATCAAGAAAAAATCTATGTTGTATGCTTTCTTTAAATAGGAATACCCTGTTTGAAATTAAAATATAAAACTATTTTTTATTATTTATTTTAAAAAATTGAGCCTTTAATCATAATGTAATAGTGATAGAAATTTCATAGAAAGAAAAAGACTGTTTAATTAAACTTAAACAACAATTTATTATTAAAAGGTGTGAATTCAATATAAAATAACTCCTCCCCTGGCTCGAATACATGCGAAGATCCTCCTGGGCATGCTGAGGATCAAGTTATCCAGCATTTCCTGGGGTAACCTATCCCATTCTTCAATAGCGGCTTCCCTGAGCTCTGGAACTGTCTGGGGACGTGGCTCACGGTTCCATACTGCTGGTTTAAGAGCATCCCACGCGTGCTCTATTGGGTTTAAGTCGGGCGAGCCGGCAGGCCAGTCTAATCGTGTGATATCGTATTCTTGAAGAGCAGCATTGACTCGTTGAGCTCGATGTGCGGGCGCATTATCATCGACCAGTACAAATTGGTGCCCATGGTTTACTCGGAATGGTCTGACGATATCATCAATAGCAACTGTTTTGTACATGTCTGCTGTCATGAAGCCCCGATACGGGATCAAAGGCGTTCTAGCTCCAATCATAATGCCACCCCAAAAGGACACCGATTTTCCGCCTTGCTGAACTGTTCCAGTGGCAGTTCTTTGTCTTTCACGGTCGCCTGGTCTTCTCCAGACACGGACACGTCGGTTATCTGGATGAGTGCTGACTCGGGATTCGTCAACGAAGAGACAGTTTTGCCAAATGTTTTCGTCCTCACCTTCTTCATTTTGCCGAAGTCTAGCCCACTGCAATCTTCGTTGTTGACGTTGCCGGGAATTGAGCGGAGCTCGCCAAGACCTCCGTGCTCGTAATCCAGCCTGGTGCAAGCAATTGCGAACGGTCTGCGTGCTAACTTCAAGCCCAGAGGCGGCCCTGACTTCTGCTTTTATTTTAGTGGCGTTGATTGTTGGATCACGGGCTGCCAGCAATCTAATATAGCGCTTTTGGGCAGCTGTCAAAACAGTTGGGCGACCGCTGCGGGGTCGGTCAGCTAAATTCCCCATTCCGTGATACCTCTGCAACGTAGCCACGACACAGGATTGGGATATAGCAAGTCTGCGTGCTATTACTCTCGTGGTGTATCCTTCTTCCCTCAAAGTTACTATTCTAGCTCGTAAAATCTCTGATAATCCTCTTGGCATTTTTTCAATCACAACTTTCCGCGAAAAATATCTTGAATCGCTTATAATTGACTAAATCAGATTTCTGAATGAGCGTAAGCTAGGACTGTAAGCCTTTTTATATGAAAAAACAATTGAACGGGGTCATTGTTTTATGTTCTAATTTATTTTTAAATAAAGAATCTGAAAATAAGAAAAAATCATAATATAATCTACAGTAACAAAAAGGATTTCAGTTTTTCGAAGTGATCGCAAACTTTTTTTGATGTGTGTACGTCACCACTTAACAATCTTGTGAATGCAAATTATTCCAAACTTGTTTTCAAACAAATGTGAATCAGCCTTACGCATTATTGACTAATACCTTACTAAGATGTATGGAGACTGTAACAATTGAAATTGTTTTCTACATTGTTTTCCTCGCAGACTCGCTATATTTATTTTTGGAAATATGTAGATTATGAATATAATTATGACGAATGGTCTCTAGTTTGGTTACTATAGGAAGAGGTCTGGTAGCTAACATTGAACAAATAAGCATAGAAATCAAATTTCGTAAATAATTAGCATAATGATGTCATCATTTCACGCAGGATTATGCCTACTTTTGCCTGTAGCCGACGGTTGCCTCAGATGAAGACTTGACTGTTTAAGAATATGAAATTAATTGTGAGACTTCTTTCTGTAGTGTGGAAACTAGCATGCAGACCAAGTAGTAACAACCAGTTTATACTGAAATTTACCAGATTCGTGCCGAA